GGACCCCTAAGAATCTTAAATGTTTCAATAAAGTCACCTCTCTTTCGTCTAAATTCCAATGTATATAGGTCCAATCTACTCAATCAGAGATAGTAGGAACTGCCGATGCTGGAGTCTGAGATAACAAGGTGAGGAGCTGTTCATCCAGCTCCACACCTTGTTATTCCAATCTACTCAACGTCTCCTCATCAGACAGTTCCTCTGTTCCTGAAATCATCATAGTGATCCTTCTCTGGACTGCCTCAAATGCAAGCATACCTTTCCTTCATTAAGGCACCCAAAATTGTTCACAGCATTCCAGCTGTGGTATGACTAGTGCCCTGTATAACTTTAACAAAACCTCCCTAATTTTATACTCCATTCCTTTTGAAATGAAGACCAACATTCCATTTGCCTTCCTTTTAACGTGCTGAACTTTGATGCTTATTTTTTCATTAAGATCTTCTTTTTCACTGAAGAGTCTTCAGGACAATCCATAGCTAACAATCTGCTCTAAAAAGTCTGCTCACATTCCTACAGCTGTGACAAATCAGCAATGGCAGCAATGTGCAATATTCTCAAATAATGAACAGTATTCTAAACAAAATATCCCCCTACATTCTAAAATAAATTCCCAACATAAATGAACGCTTTAATTTTTTCCAGGATCTGAATGCACATCTTTGTAAAAAAATTAATCATCTTTTCCTTGAACCATACCATATTATTGCGCCAAGTTTCAGTAAAATACTTCTATTCGTATTTGGGATATATTGTTTACAGATCAACAGAAAAATAGATGAACAAACAAGGACTAAAATATTATTTCTGCTCAGGTTCTATGGCTGACAATAAGGTGTGTGAAACCACAAGAATGATGGTAAAACACAAGATAGGCATCTTCAAGCAGTGCTTCAGATACATTTATAGGAACATATTCCAATAAAGTCTACCAATAATTTCCTGGATCATCATCATCTATTGTGCGTTGCACAATTTTTAATGTAATGAGGCACAAGCATGGAGTGGGTGGAGGAGCAGGCAACACAAGCAAGTCAGGAGATGATCGTGGGCAGAAACAATTTTGAAGACTGCTACAACCATAAACCAGGCTCTCATAGTTGAAACTTTTGGATAAGTATATGTTCCACACAAAGCATCAGCACTCATCTCTGTGGCTTCACCATATAGCTATGCTCTCACTTACATTGCTGCATCTGCACCAACTTGGATGAAATTTGTTTGTCTGTGTTAAATGATTATATAATATCATATCAAGAACACTCCTTGAATACAATTAAAATGAAATTAGCCATATTTTAATGACATAAAAATAGAGTATGTCTGAAGTGTACATTGCCATGACACGAATAAGTGAGATGTTTGATTGTTCTCTATGTGAGCATCTTAGAAACTGTATTTCTCTGATTGGAATTGTACATAGAAAAGTTGCTGACCTTATCATGTCTGTATTTGCAGGGGCAGACCTTGTACTGAACATTATTTTGTGCATATTGATAGTTATTTGTGTGCAGAGGCACCAGATTTCTGAGCGATAGCAGCTTCATCGATGGCACCTCCAGCCATACCGATCCTGGCGATTGCATTGCTATGTAAAGTTGTCATTGTCCCAGAGGGGCATTGGGCTATTCTCTATTAGAGAGACATGACTAGTGGTGGATGTAACCTGAGGGTCACTATGCATCAGGTGAGAGGCGAGGTTGAAGTGGCAGGACATGCATGGCGACCTCAGCTGGCGCAGGAATTGAATCCACACTGTTAGCATCACTCTGTGTGGCAATGCAGACATCCAGTCAAACACCTCTCGTTGTTATGACGGCATTTCTGTAGATCTCCTTAATGTGTCCAAAACTCCACAGAGAGGGACAAAGACCTCTTTTACTTGCAGCCTGAACATTCATAAGAGATATTAAATTGATATAGTTTCTCCTAGCTGAAGTCCCACTGTAGAAGTCTGTTGGGCCAGTACTCTGCCCCATTAATTAATGCTCCATGGTAATTTGCATTGATGGAAATCCATCTTTTCATGAAATATAATTTTACAGATATAGAACCTGTCATTAGCTACTATTCCTCAGTTATTTGACATGGTTTCCAACCACTTTGGCAAAATTGTACACTCAGAAAGAATTGTTGCAGTTATGAAGTCTACAGCAGGTCCTGTGAAGTTTGCATTTTTGGGCTCAACCGCTCAGCGAGAATGTAAACAAGCCTATTGGGCACTGGGTTCATTGACCTCCACTTGAATCACTGCCTGCTCCTGGATGTGTATTTGCATACACTATTGCAAAGAAGAGGCAACAGTTTGATCTTGTCAGAAAGACAAGCAGTGATACTTTAGAACAGCCCATACCAAGTACAATCAGACATTCATGTATTATGAAATTATATTCAAGTGGAAGGATATTTTTTCTCTTGAATCCAGTAAATATGTGAATGAAAATAAGTTTCAGATATACGTTGTAGACACAAATTGTGTCCTTCTGCAGAATTCCCTAGCGTGGGAAGCATTCAATATAGTTTGAAGTAATCATACAGTCATAGAGTCAAACAGCACAGAAACAGACACTTCAGTCCAACCAGTCTATGCTGAATATAATGCCAAACTAAACTAGTCTCACCTGCCTGCTCCTGGCCAATTCTCTCTAAACCTTTCCTATTCATGTACTTATCCAAATGTCTTTTAAAGCATGCGAAAAATTTGCCCCTCATGACTTTTTTAAATTCCTCTCCTTTTAGCTTAAAAATGACCCCCTAGTCTTGAAATCGCCCAACCTGGGAAAAGACACACACCATTGACGGTATCTACACACTCACTACTTTATAAACTTCTATCAGGTCTCCTCTCAACCTCCTATGCTGTAGTGAAAAAGATCCCAGCTTATCCAGCCTTTCTTTATAAGTCAAGACTTCCATACCCAGCAACTTCCTGGTAAATCTCTTCTGAACCTTCTCCAGCTTAAAAATATCTTTCCTATAACTGGGCAACCAGAACAGGGCACAGTATTCCAGAAGAGGCCTCACCAAAGTCCTGTATAACCTCAACATGACTTCTCAACTCAAAGGACTGAGCAATGAAAGCAAGTGTGCCAAACACCTTTTTAACCACCCTGTCTATATGTGATGCAAACTTCAAAGACTTATGTACCTGAAGCTCTAGGTCCCTCTGTATGGTTCATTGAAGACAAATCATGCTTAACCACTTTTCACAGTACTCCTGTACTTCTGTACTTGACAAAAAATTCTAAATCTAAATTTATTGGAGTTCTTTGAAGGATTAATGTACAATGTGAATAACAGGAAGCATGTAGACTTACCGCACTTGGATTTCTGGAAGGCATTTTATACGGTACCACATTGAAAGCTCATAGCATAGAGTAACATGTTAACATGGATAGAGGATTGGCTGACTCACAGAAAATAGAGAGACCCATGTTTGGAGTCTGTGTTGGGGCCACAACAGTTCACATTTTACATCAATGACTTAGATGAGGGGAGCAAAGGCATAGTCGCTAAACTCATAGATGATAAATTCAAAAGAAAATGGAGGTGAGGATTATCAGATCAGCAATAATTTCATTGAATGGTGGGCTGATAAGCCTATTGACATCTCACATCTTACTTCTTTTGGTCTTATGACACTGTAGCAACGTATTTTTGAAGAAGAAATAATGGGAAGTTGCAGATGGATATGGTGGGTTGAGCGAGTGCATAAAAATCTGGCAGACAGAGAATGATGCTGGAAAATGTGAATTATACCTGGAGTTTAGGGCTTAAGTTGTGGCAAGAGACAACAGTTTTACAAGCAGTTGTACAATAAGTTTTGGGCCCCATATCTAAGGAAGGATGTGCTAGTCTTGAAGGGGATCCAGAGGAGATTCACAAGAATGGTCCTGACAATGAAGGGCTTATGAATTGAAGAAAGGTTGAGAAATCTAGGTCTGTACTTGTTGGAGTTTAGACTGATGAGGGGGGAATCTGATGAAACTGATAGAATACTTAAAGGCCTGGATAGAGTGGACATGGAGATGTATCCACTAGTAGGAGTGACTAGGAACAAGAGCAGATCCTCAGAGTGAAGGGATGATCCTTTTAAGCTGAGATGAGGAGTAATTTCTTCAGTTAGAGGGTGGTGAATCTGTAGAACTCATTGCTGCTGAAGGCTGTGAAGGCCAAGTCATTGAGTGTATTTAAGACAGAGATAAATAGATTCTTGATTAGTAAGGGAATCAAGGGTTACGGGGAGAAGGTAGGAGAATGCGGTTGAGAAACATATCAGCCATGATCAAATAGTGGAGTAGGCCTGATGGGCCAAATGGCCTAATTCTGCTTCTATATCTTATGGAAATGGGAATTGCAAAAATACTTTATGGATAAAGACTACGAGGACAATGGGGAAAGTACAAGTAAGTTGGACTTACTGGAATTATCTTGGAAAGAGCCAATTCTGACTCAGTGATGGAGAAACCTCATGTTTTGCAATATTCTATGATTCTGTCTGGTGCTGTACCAAGCTGTTCTCTTGTGTGTACTAAAGTTGCTGACTTGAATTTTCATAAACTTGAATATCTTAAATCCTGCTACAGAGGAGTTTCAAACAGGCTGTGGATCTCATTACTTTTGGGAAAATGAAGTTCACTTCATGCTTTTTATCAGCAGTCACAATGGCCATGTGGTTCAGTTCAGTCCGGAAAATTCATCCTCAGGGATTCTGCTTATGTCATACCTTTTCCTTCGGTGTTTCCAGGTGTGAGCCACTGGGTTAATAACATTTCCGATGAATATTAATTGAGTCAGTACCCAATTTCAATTATACCCTGTGTCCATTGGTTTTGAGTTGGATTTAAATCTGACAATCCTTGATGTAAATCTAAGTGGCTTTCAATAAGTGGGTGGTTGTATTTTGCAGTAAGTTATGCCCTAGACTGAGGGGCCTGATATTTCACAGCTGAATTATGAAACCCAAGAGCACTCCGCGCAAATCACTGAGCCAGAGCCATCTAATGTGGCTGTCTGACGTACAGGTCTCCATGCTGACGGAACCCGCCTACCCAACGTCAGTTCCTTTCCTTTATTTCCCCGTTGGTAAAAGGATTAGGTGAGCAGTGAGGTTGTAGTTGGAGAGTGTCCTTACTACTGTGGCGACTGGCAATACAATGCAGTGGTGAATGCACTTTGAATGTGTCTCTTTTTCTGCCGGGCAAGAGAGAGAGAGAGAGAGAGATATATCTGTGTTTTGAAGCATTAGCTCGTGAAAAAGCGGACTTTGTTCCTGTTCAATCAAAAAAAGGACTCGTTCGACTTCAGTGATTCCCTCCCACTCTCTCGAAAGGTTCGACAGGTAAATTTCAGGCGCGGCCAAAACTGCAATTAGACTATGCGTTACAAGGCGCTGGCGTTTGGGGGGGATCTCCGGTTTCCGATTCGGGTTCTGTATTTTATTGATTCTCTGATGATTGTTGCTCCAGTTCTTTGTTCTCTGGATCAATGGTGATTGGCGTCAGTCGAGCAGGTAGAGCGAGAGAGGGTTATATTTCCATGGTGGTGCGGGCTGCTGTAAAATGACCTACACTTGGTTAGTTATAAAGTAAAAGTTTTACAATAAATACAGAATCGGAACAAAGAAAAATCACATCACAAAACCCCCAGGATTGTGAAATGACATGATATAGGCACATTGCAGGATGTTAACCCGTGTTGGAATTAAAACAATGGTGACATTGAAATCCCAGTCTGGGTTTATTACAGTAATGGGGTAGAGCTTAACTTTAATTTAAACTGGGAGATCAGAGGACTGATAGCATCAGAGTTTTAAACTTGCAGGAATTTTGAAATTTCCCTTGTAGCCGGTCGTAGTCCTGGGCGCTAACAGAGACTATCGCTCATCAGCGAAGCCAAAGTTCAGTCGAAGTTATCGAAGTGAAAAGTCAAAACTGTCGAAAGCTTTGCTAGGTCTGTTTAATCCGAATATTTGCTGTTCAAACAGCATCGAGGCACCAAACGCTGATCGAATGATATTGAATCTGATTGACGTGTGTGTGCATGATTGGGGGAGAAGGGGCATTATAAATCAGTCCAGTTTTTTATTTACTTTTTAAATGTAAATGTTGCTACTCACATTCGGCATGTCTGTCAATGCAGTTTTCACGGGATATTTTTGTGCAACACCGTGCCCACATACAGTGCAAAACTGTTCAAAGGAACGTTAAGTATTCGCTGATCCCAATTATTTCTTTATTTGAAGGGCAAATACTCGGAGCATTTTCTTAACCGTCTTGTCATTGTAAATGCTGATTGACTTATAGTGTATTCCGAAAATTTCCTGTGTTTAATTCACTCCCACTCTTGTTTACATAAGGGGCTGTACTCAAAGGTGCATTGGTCCCATTGCCGCAATGGCATATTTCCAATTACTGAAAACTTGCATTCGCTGATGGATTCAGTAATATATTGGCACTGATGGTAGGATCATAACTGTTAATCTTGGTGACACAGCATGAAGATGCTTGCCTCCAGAGCTCTAATGATATGGAAGAACTGCATTTGTGTGGGTTTTGTAGTATCTGGTTCTGAGAAGGTGCTTGTTTTCTTTGCCTGGTAAACATCTGGAGCCAATTCCACGTATCTATGTTTACACTTTCGTGCTGTTTACCAGTGACTTGAGTGTGCAGTTGTGCAGAACCTAGACTGTTGAACAATTCCCAGGCTCTTCTGTCTATATTGAGCTACAGCAGAGGTAACTTTGATTTCAAAATCCTGTTTTAAACTGCCTGCAGTTTGTACATTTTATTGTAGTATTGCCTGAACTTTTTTAACATAATCTACAGAAATGGACGATGGTTATAATTTGTAAAATCTGATTGTAATTTCAAAAAAATTTACAGACTTGATTACATAAAATTCTAAATACTTGAGGTCTGACATCTGAAATAATAGTCTTTCAAAGTGAGACAACCAGTATAAGCAATTAATCAAGCTGTGAGATTTTGATGCAGTGCTTAATATAATTCCTGTTTTTCAGAGTAGGATTAACATCCTCGCTCATTGCTTTAAATTGCCAGCAAAATATTTGTGAAGTGCAAACTGTGCAGTGATGCTCATGGTTGACCTGATTTCTACTGCTATAGCTGAGATCCTATAGTCTGGACCAATGTACGTAGCAAGAACTCAAAAACAGTTAGCATTTTGTATCAGAAAAAATAAACAGTAATTGCTGGAAAAGCTCAGCAGGTCCAGCAGCATCTGTGGAGAGAAATTGGAGTTAATGTTTCAGATCGAGTGACCCGTCCTCAGAACTGTTTTTGTTTCTGATTTACAGCATCTACAGTTCTTCAGGTTTTTATTGAGCATTTGTATCAATTAGCTTAAAACTAAAGGCAGAAAACAACCTGCTAAATTGCCAATTAGATCTCAATAAAAAAGTACTTTCTATATTGTGTCTACACTATTCTTGTCCATGATAATCTCTCTCTCAGAGCCAAATGTTGGCTCAGGGAAAGTAAAAACAACTTCATCATATAAATGTCATTGAACATAAGAACATAAGAACTAGGAGCAGGAGTAGGCCGTCTGGCCCTTCGAGCCTGCTCCGCCATTCAATAAGATCATGGCTGATCTTTTCGTGGACTCAGATCCACTTACCCGCGGTCTCACCGTATCCCTTAATTCCTTTATTGTTCAAAAAAAATCTACCTTTTTTTTAGAAATGTTTACTGAAGTAGCATCAACTACTTCACTGGGCAAGGAATTCCATATATTAACAACCCTCTGGGTACGAAATTCCTTCTCAATTCAGTCCTAAATCTGCTCCCTCTAATCTTGAGGCTATGCCCTCTTGTCCTAGCTTCACCTGCCAGTGGAAACATCCTCTCCACTTCTATCTTATCTATTCCCTTCATAATTTTATATGTTTCTATAAGATCCCCCCCTCAAGAACAAATGGTTGCTTTTTCTCAGATGTGTACTAGCTTATCTATTGAAGCCATCATTGAAGAAAAATAATATCTCCTTTTCCAACTGTAAATTTCAATGCTTTATTCAGGATAATTATAGAAAATTACCTTCAGAATTTTGCACTTTAGAAAAGTCCAGGGATTTTTATTCTATAATATTCCTGTAAAACACCTCAATGTTTCACAATTTTAATGGTACTATGTAGATGCACATTGTTGTCTGGTTTGGATGTTATAAATCTTGTGAAGCTGTCACTGTCATTCAGCCCTTTTGACCCTGTTTTATAATTCATTTAGATCATGTTGATCTGAGTCCTAATTTCATTTACTCTCTCTGGACCCATAACACTTAATTTCTTTGCCTAATATCAATCTCACTTCTGATAATTTCAATTGACCTTACTTTGGGGGAGAAAGTTACAGCTTCTCACTACATTTTGTGAGAGGAAAAGCTTGCAGACATCACCTCAGAACAGCTTAACTATTTTTAATGTCATTGCCCCTTATCCCAATGAGGGGAAATGGTTAAAGTTTCTCCACCCAGCAAATGCATTCATCATTTAAAAATCTCAATTAGATTTTCTCTAATCTTCTGTATTCAATGGAATATAAGCCTATCCTACACAACATGTCCTTAACATAATTTATCCCTTTTAATCACTAAATTAATCCATACTTGCTGTGCTGGTGAAGTACATCATCCTTCATTGCACAGAAAGCCCCCAGACAGGGATGTCAACATTTAGCACCAAAGTCACCAACAGACCATATTGCAAATACAAATATTTGAAGATGGCAAGAAAGGCTGTTCTTAAAGAAAAAATCCAGGATCTGTGGCTTTATAAATATAGGTTACAAAATCATGAAAGTTAATTTAAATCTTTAGAACGCTTTACAGTTAGATGCCAGCAGAGGTATTGTATATATTTCTGGACACCACGCTTTTAGGAAGGACATCCAGACCTTGGCAGTGGTGAAAAGGAGAGCTCCTAAAACAAAAATATCAGGGGTAAGGAATGTCAATCATGTGAAGAGATTAATGCTATCAGAGTTGTTCTTAAGTGTAAAAGGTTAGGGGTTTTGAATAAATAATAAAGAGCGTATTGCCACAAGTTGGTGGTTAGTAACCATAGGACATGTATTTAAGATGCTTAACAAAAGAAGCAGGAGATAGCTATTTTTTTGATGCAATGATTTGTCATGATTTTGGATGGCACTGCCTGACAGAGCAGTAGAAGCACATTCAGTGATAATGTTCACATGGGATTTGACCGACACGTTGAAAGAAATGGTTGCTGGGATTTTGGAAAGAACAGGGATGTGGGACTAACAATACACCAAATGGCCACCATTTGTGCTTTGTGATCTCATGATTAAGATCAAAACTGTACAGCTGTAGCAACACTTCCCTACTTTCAAACTCTATTGCCCTTGCAATAAAGGCCAACATACATTTTTCCTTCCTTATTACTTGCTGTACCTGCATGCTGACTTCCTGTGATTCACATAATAGAACACCCAGATGCCTCGGCATTGCTGTACCTTGCAGTCTGTTTCCATTTAAGTCATATTTGGCTTTCTGGTCTGACTGCCAAAGTACACAACCTCATATTTTCCCACATTACATTCCATCTGCAAAATTTTGCACTCTCAACCTATCTATATGCCTTTTGCAAGAAGTAAATCTCAAGATGAATGTGGGAACCTCCTGCATTGCTGGAAACAGTGAATATGTCATGGTTTTTTTGGAAGGCAGTATAAGAAACAACAGAAACAAAAACAGACATTTCTAAAGAAACTCAGCAGTCTGGCAGTCTCTGGAGAGAAAGCAGAGTTAATGGAGTTCAGGTCCAGTGACCCTCCCTCGGAACACTCCAGAAACAACAATTGGGGCTTGCCACATAGTTGCGATTCTGTCTGGAAAGTTGGGGAAATCACAGATCCAGAAGGTTTGAGACTGTTCCTCTGAAACAGTTATTCCTGGAAACAGTAGTTACTTGCATCATCCTTTTATTTATGGGATATTCATCCAGGGTTCATTTTCTGCTCATTGTCCATTGACCCTGGCTGGAGTTACAGAAATACATGGTCACATTGTTTGCTGATATGCCATCACTATTACACCTGGATGAGAAACTGCAATCCAGGAACAAGAATATGCCATTCAGCCCATTGATCCTGCTCAGCCATTTAATATGATCATAGCTGATTGAACACTTCAATACCTTTTACCCACAATGTCCTATAACGCTTTACCCTATTGGTAAACATAAATCTATCACCTCCAACTTTAAATATACTCAGAGTCTGAGCTTTGACAACACTGAGTTTCTCACTTCTGAGAAAAAAAAACTTTCCCCTCATTTCAGTCCTGAATGGCATCCCTCTT